ATTTTGATAAAAATTATTGAGAAATTAAGGAGGTAGAAAGTTATTAAGGAATTTTAGTGAATTTACATAATTCTTTAGCTTAAGAAAAATTTGACTGTTGATAGTTTAACCCAAAAAATTGCCGCAAATACTATCTATCAAAATCAAATGGAAATTTATCAGGGCTGAAAACTAAATTTCTATATTTACGATTTTTCGAAATATAGTGAAATTTGCATAATTCAAAATTTGAAGGGTTCGTTTGGGAAGCGACCGTAAAGATCTGAGAAAAATATGCAACTCTTTCTTTTCAAAAATCCCCATCCTGGAAACCGACAAAATTGAAAACCCATTGAATATTTATGAGGTGCCAACCATATTCCGATCCCCAAAAAAAACGTGAAAATCAATTTTTTTCAAAATCTAACCTTTGAACATCCAGAACTTACTTTCCCTATACAGTAGCCCAAAAAGTGACGCGCTTATCTACCGGCTTTTCCTCAAGGCCAACAACCACTCAAAAGCCAGGCGCTGGGCCCAGGCCAACCCCCAAATAAACCACCATCAGTTCCAGAAGAGGGGCCAAGTACTCCCCCAGTTGCTGTACATAGCAATACCGCGTTGTGGTATTTGCCAAGATTTGTGATGGAGTGAGGAACGGGGCGTAGTCGAGGAGGGTGGGTGGTTGGTGTGGCTCTCAAAAATGCGTGGAGAAGTAGCGGAAGGAAGGTAAGGGACAGGAAGAGAAGGGAAAAGGAAGGAACCCTCACTCTTCCGTCATATGGCCCATTACCTAGTGTCACACACAACTTGCATATTTCAATAAAGTGTTGTCTCGTGCGGAACAAAGTCTAGTCGAGATTTTTGCTTCCTTAAAAGGAGTATTTTGGAGGTGTGCTTAGACCAGAAGCGGAAGTGCTCGCCGCAACAGATGAAATTCAGCGGGAAGTTCGAAATATGGTGTTTGAGTGTAGAGCGGGTCTTCCTTATTTATTTCCTTCTTCGATGGGTTGGACTCTCGGAAGCGAGTGGCCCGAGGAGGGATACCAAAAAAATCTAACAGGATTTTACACAAGAAGAAAGTTTGGAACAAAATACATCCTCATCGGACTAGGGTGAGAGAGCGAGAGAGAGTTGGAGGGCGAGAGAGAGAGGGGGAGATATAGGAGATAGAGGCAGAGAGAGCGTGAGAGAGTGAAAGAGAGTGGAAGCGGGAGAGAGAGGAGGAGAGAGGGAGGGGAGAGTGAGAGAGAGCGAGAGAGAGATAGAGAGAGAGAGAGAGAGAGAGAGAGAGAGAGAGATAGAGATAGAGAGAAAGTTAGAGAGGGAGCGAGAGTGTAGGTCAGAAAGGCAGCGAGAGAAAGTGAGAAAGAGAGCTGGAGAGAGCGAGAGAGCGAGAGAGAAGGAAGAAAGAGATCGTTAGGTAAGCGAGAAACAGAATTCAGGAGAACATAACGGAACATAACAGAACGATAGTGAGACAGAACTAGAAAAAAAGGAAACAGACAACCCGATATATACGAATTTTCCCAAATTTTTGTCTCGCTTCCCAAACCCCCATCAAAATGATAAATCAGGTCTCTACCAGATCCAAATCATGGGGATTTTTTGCTACGTTTTTTTTTCTTGCTCCGTAGAAGGTTACGGTAGCAGGTGCAGCCCGTGCTATTATGTCACCACCTGGCTACAATTAGAATCTATAATTTTCGTGGCTTTCATGAAATGGACGAGGAAGTGCAAATGATGTGTGCGGGCAGCTGTAATTCATCACTATATGGTAATATGTAATTTGCTAAAAAAACAACCTGGTTTTATATTATGGGGAACCAGATTAACAAAGAAACCAGAGCCAGAATCAGATTTTTCGCAAAATGCTTAGAATACGTGATTTTCGGAGCCAGGATGAACGCATGAATACGCAAGAAAATCACTACCGTAGCACATGACTCACACCAGGAGCTCATAATTCCATTTCCGAAATCCCCATAAGCCCGCGGGTAAAGACTCTTGTCCGGAAAATTGGACGATGTGCACGTGGTGGCCATCGGGGAAATGCTAATTATTTTCGATATATAAGGATGGGGGCATGGGGGCAATTTGCAGGACGGCCGCAAGTTTCGATTGCAAGATTTCAATCAAGCAACCCGGGCCCCGGGTTTGTTTCCGGGTTGATGAGACGGGCTTTTTCGGAAAATTCCACGAAAACATGCCCCCTTTCTAGGTGCGAAGGAAGGGTACGTCGATCTGTGCAAATTGCTGCTGGCATTTGCAGGGCGAAATTAGCTTTGGGTTTTGGGGTGGGTGTAAGGCATTTGCAAGAAGTTTTCGAGGGCCAGACTATCACAGGGTTACTATTTTTGAATCTGCTGACACAATGTCGAAACTCATAATGCCGGAATTCCAGAATGTCGAAAATCATAACCTGCAAATTCATAATGTCGAAAATCTGAATGCCGACATTCCAAAACGTCGGAATTTTTTCATAAGAATTGGGCGCTTTTACGGGAAATTTGCTTATGCAAATTACGACATTCTGACATTTCGAAATCACGAAATTTAGACATTACTATTTTCGAAATTATGAAAATAACCCGTATTTTTGGAAAATAACGTTTTTCTATTAATATTTCTCCCTTCGCCTCCTACAATCTAACAAAATCGTAATTAGAATTTAATCAAGTGAATAACCCTTCAAGAAACATAAAAAATACGCTCCGGCCGATATTGACAAATCTACGGTACCAAAGATTCTGGGGGGGCAGAAAATTCAGAAAACCGATGGGTTCCAAAATCCCATATTCGTTCCCCCCATCCCATCCCGCTGTGCGCCCGGAAACCCGATCCTTTTCACACGGCTTTAAAAAAGAGCCCCTGACCGCCATCCGGATGAAGCTTCCGTTGTTTTAAACGCACAAAAAAACTAGAACAAACCCGCCTGACGATTTTCCGAGCGACAACAAAGTCCAGCCACCCGGGCGATGACTCTATCGCTATTATTGGGGGGCTGCTACTCTCGTATTCACAAGAATTTGAGCCGAGCAACCGTCATCTGCCCGTCCAAAAAAAAAACCCTGAAAAAAGACAGAAAAAGGATCGAATGGTCTTTGAGAGTGTCAACCGAAGGCACTAGAATTCAGATTAATCACTGGCCAACGCGGGGCCCAGTTTTTAGAATCGCCCAAACACGCAACACCGCCTTGGCCCAAGCCATCTTTTTTTAGGACGGGGGCCCAACATCCAGGATGTGAGGGCCCTCTGTGGCCCATGGAGGCCAATCCGATTCATTAGTTATCCGTCCTTCCATTCGCACCCCCTCTCTAATTCTTTAGAGCTCTACCCACGCCACCACCACTCGGGATAAGGAGTACACACCGCCCAAAGCGGAAATTGACCCCCGGATTCTAGGAGCCCGATGAGAGTTTTCTGGCTTCATTTTCCTTCCAGGGATTTGCTGGCTAAATAAAGGCGTACTGGACTGTTAGCGGGGGAGGGGGTTTTCCTGAGAAAACACATAAATAGTGTGATTTTTGTAGTTTTTGCTCGCTAAAAAGTTTAGATAAATTAGAAAATTTTAGACATTTTTAATACTTTTTTTGGAAATTATTTTTACATTTTGGTCCAAAAAGTCGAAAATTTACGAGAATTTTTGAAGTTTTTAAATCTAAAAACTGTGTAAAATGTATAAAATAAATTTCTATCTTGTTTGAGGACCGTACAGGATTACTGGGAAAATTAGTTTCCCGCTACTAAAAAAACTCTCCCCCCTGCTAACAGTCCAGTACCAATAAAGCTACCGTACAGGAATTTTTTGTCAAAATCACTTTAAAGCAACAAACTGCGAAATAAAGCGTCGAATTGCGGTATTACTATGTGAAAATAAGAAAAAATTGGACTTTAGTCCACTCAAAAAAAAAAATGCTCTCTACGACCCCCGTTCCGCTTCCCTCCGCCTAATAAACATCGCAAATGAATACCGCCCCGGAAACGGCAGCGAATCTAAATATTATTATTGCAGGAGGGATAACATGTTATCGTCAGCGAGCTCTCCTTCCTTCCAAGACACACGTCAAATTGCCCACGATGTAGCCAAGGAACGGGGCAATGAAACGGCTGGCGACCAGGGACAAAATGATGGATTTCCCCTGCTTGGTTGGGCGCAATTTATTCAGGAAGATGTGAATGGGCTATGTAAAGGATTCTTGGGAAATAAGGCAATTATTAGCCCAAAAAAACGTTATTACCCGATTTACCGATTCCATTCAACTCCCCATCGTCTCTCAAGAAATGGCAAAAAGTGCAAAATCTCTGCACGAAGTGGGATTCGAACCCACGCATCGATAACGATACCAGAAGACCCGAACCCGCGGTACTCGCAGGAAGCAATGCTTGAGTCTGGCGCCTTAGACCACTCGGCCATCCGTGCATGTTGGGAGGCGCCCCGGTTGCCCTGAAAAGGGGGATGGACCAGGCGGGGGGGTCTGGTTGATGGGTCGGGGGCAGCATGGGGGGGAGCACAAGGCCGACCATCCGATTACGCCATTGAAAAGGGGACACTCATTTTGGGGATGGCAGGAAGTGAAGAAATAAATATTATATTTTATGTTACACATCGAGTTTCGTTGCACTCGTTTTAAATGGAAGGATATTTACCTTTCGTTTTTCGGATAAAACTCCGTTCCGCTCCAAACTACACCCTCTATCCTCTATCTTTTTGCCTGTCCCATGTTGTGCCGGCTAGACTGGAAGTGGTGTGCTGCGAGTAATCGAATTGACGAAACAACGCGACAACGGACAGCCCTCTCAAGCCGAGAAGGCGACCGAGCGGAGATTCTTTATTCAAAGCAACTATGTACAGACAGGAGAAAGTGGAGAATGAGGCCAAAATGATTGCGTTTTAGCGGGGTGCACAGATTATCACCCGGTAGCTAGCTTGATTACAAATTAAAGATCCTATATAGGCGAAAAGCTAGCTTTAAGAAATTCCAGAAATATGTCCAGACTAAATTCCTAATTCTTGTCTAGTATCGCCAGACGATGGCAACAATAAGCACTAAAAGGTATACGGTAAGTGGGGTGAGAGTTGGGACAACGGCTCCATTCTGGACAACGGGCGCCGCCTGCTTGGGGACGTCGTCGGCAAGCGGGGTGGTCGGGCTGCAAATCAAATCTCGTCGAATCTCCTTCCCCCCTTCAATCCCGACCCATCACTAACCCACAAAGCTGCTGAGTCAAGCTATGTTCAGCGAGCAAAAAACGCGCGGCTGCATTTTAAAGGGGACGGGCACTTTTGGAGGTGCGAAAAGTGAAAGTTACTTATCGGGGGGATAACGGGGGTGGACACAACTTTTCTCTTATAAGTCATTATCTTAAAACTGGTTCTACAATCAAGTATACCTCGGAAAGAGCTTTGAAAATTATGCCAAGAGATTTACTTTCAGCCCAAAATACCAGTATTTAAAATTAGTACTTTATTTCGCTAAAAAGTTTAATTAATTAAACAGCGTTGCGAATAAGGTTTTTCGGGCTGAAATTAAATCACTAGTAATTTTTGACGCTCAACCTAATGGCGTTTCCAAAATAGCAGGATAAGTTTTATAAACATAAATTTTTTCCACCCCTGTTATTTCTCCCCCCCGTTAAGCAACCTTTACGATCCCAAAATACTCACACGATCGGTGCTGCCGCAATCACTTCCACTTGCGTGGGCGCGGTTTGTGGTTGTGGCAAACGGTAGGTTCGAATGTCTTCGCACATCTTTGGCCACCTAAATCACAGTGCATTTAAGAACTTGTATTTCGAATTTCCTATTTTCATGTAGTTACTTCTTCAGTGCTCCCATGTCCAGTGAGAGACTTTCCATCGAGTCGAAACTCCTGCGTGTCAGGTTGATCACCTAAAAATTCCGCGGACGATTCTTTTTCTAACTGGTCCTTACCAAATTTGCCGTGTCAAAATCACATGTATGGGCGATGGTCGGCACATCACAGTGGAGCGAACAAATCACATATCTTTAAATATATCAATAAATTCTTATTTTTTGCCTATTTCCGCTTACTCGCAACCCTCTTCCAAATATTTTTCGGCCTGCGAGGTATCGCCGCTCATCGCGAGGTGCCTAGAAGAAGCAAGAATTAAAAGACACTGTGTTTGGTATGAGAAAAAGCACCTCCGATCGTTACCTGAAATTACCGATAAGTGATGTGACAGCGCTGTGATGAGAGGTACAACTTTTCAAGCAGTCTTCAGATGGTGCAATTCGGCTAAGACACGGGAATTTGGTGGCGATAGCTAAATCCCATCAAATAGAAGCAGTCATTCCGGACCTTTTCTGTTATAAACACAGTAATGATCAATAATCTCTGAAGAGCGCATCAACATTTGGTGCAGGTAACCCGGTTCGCAAGACGAGGCGCAATTTTGGAAATTATGGTAGATCCTAAAGGCTTATTAATTTCATTGCCGGTTTGGCTGACCCGCAGAAGGTTTCGAAAAAGGTAGTGTTGCTGAAGGCCCGGAGAAAATCATTGTAGTTGAGTTGGAGTAAAGAAACGGCGCTATACGGTAGGGGTTATACCTGGAGAAAGGAAAATGGTTGTTACCGCTCTGGTCCAAGTTGTGTACCAATTGATTCCACGAAGGAAAGAGCACAATGACCGATACAAGTGTCTGGATTATCATGGGTCGATGGTCTAGAAAAAAACATAGAATAAAAAAATTACCTTGTGCCTCGGAAATACAATGAAAACCCACGAAACTGTCGGTATCGCCGGGTCCAGGGTTACAGCCAGATCAAACGCGCTCTGCCCAACAACGAGGGATAGAATTATTAACAGAATCATGTTCCTGTGTCGAATGCCGAGGAGCTACTTTGAAAATACCGCGCAGCCAAAGGCAGTTTCTCCCAGAGGTTGGCCGGTAGTGGGTGGGAATGCCTGACGGCAAGGTCACTCCCGGTCATCAGCCCCTATCTTCCCTTTTCAAAAACACCCGGTCTCCTCCACTTTTCCCTTTCAACTCCTTTTCCAAAAATTCGTGTCCGAGGCCGCATTTGTGTCCGCGGTAACCCGTTTCACGTTTCTCGTATTTCCCAACCTCCTAATAGCAAGTATTAAATCAACAGGCGTTGTCAATAACTATTGCCGAAGAGAATGCATAAAGAAGCCATGTGTTTGCATAAAGCGGTGTGCCATTCGCAATGATGATGTGCAATCGCAAATATTGAGACGAACAGTTCATTGTTTCCTTTCCATGCAACGAATTCGAAATTATTGCTAGCGGATATTACAATTCACATATTTAAAAAAAGACAACTGTCTTCGAATATTAATTCACAGGATCAACACAGATCGTATAAGAAACCGGATCAAAATTGAGAACTAACACAATCCAAACAACGAGCTTCCATACGCCATAGGAGGAACATCAGGATGCGGCACGGCCGAAAATGAGGTAAAGCGGGGAGTCAAAGCAGGGGCTTGAAGCCTGATGAAAGCGCCCTAAAAATACATATAATTCTGCAATAAGTTCCTAACCTTGTTGCCCATTTGATCACAATAGTTTGGAGCTGAGAAGACGGTATAGACTCGGCCATCATGATGCTTCTCAAAACCTTCCGGCTTGACTTCGTGGGAACTAAACCACATGTTGCTCGTAAAAGTCAAAAGCTTACCGCACAACATAGCTGATGCCATTTTTCTCACAAAATTTCTGGCTAACATCGGGCCCAAATTGACATCCGACGCCACGCTTGGAGGGGGTGCGACCATCGATGGGCTGTGGATCAGACCTAAATTTGGGATTGCAAGACCAAACCAAATTAAAGCCATACCAGAGCAAGTCACACATAATACCCTCATCGGGCGGCTGGCGGACTCGATCCGTATTACGGATGTCGTCCAACGTAACTCCGTCGTGGTTGAAGAGCCCACCATGACAGACCTAAAGACGAGGTGGAAAAATACCTAAAAATGCTTACAAAGACTTTTTCGTTGATAAGATGACACAACGGAAGATGACAGAAAACTTCAGTGAAAATTACGGCCACGCTATCCGAGAATTTGTGCTTCACCTCACCTTCGAAACCGTACATCTAAAATGGTTATGGAACATCTCCGGTAAGTATACCTTGTTCATGGTATCACTTTCGTGGTTACCACGAGACAAGTAGAAGTGATTCGGATAGAGGAGCTTGTACGCAAAGAGCGTGAAAATCGTCTCAACCGAGAAGGAGCCACGATCAACGAAGTCACCATTGAATAACTGCAAAAAAAATTGCTATAAAATGAAAATGCTTACGTAAGGATTCTCCTCGCTGGGACGACCATTAATTTCAAAAATATTCAATAGATCATAGAACTGCCCGTGAACGTCGCCGCAGATCGTAAACTAAATGGGCATAAAAAAGATATATGTGTTCAAACCTTATCGCCGTCGGCAACTTTGATATCAACTAGCGTGGGTTGTTTCTTGAAGAACTCGTAAATATGGACAAGTATCTAAACACATTGAGTTACATTCGGAAAAAGACTCCATCGTTACCTTGTAAGCATACTTTTTATGCAGCGCTTGTTGCTTTTTGAAATGGTTCGTCATTTCCAGCACAAATTCTGCGGAAAGATCACCTTCCCAACGCGGACCTTGATACTTGTCGTCAACAGCTAAATAAAATTGAGAAAAATAAGCAAAACAGTTACGGATGGCATCATAGGCAATCACATCGAAGTCGACTTTCTTTCCGTGATCTGTGGCGATCGCACGTTCAAAAGCAATTCGCTTGACAATTTTCGAGCACTCAGAGTGCTTCGCGACCGCGTCCTTGTCTTTAGGCCGAGCCTAAACGAACTACTTGAAAGATACCTTAATTTACCTTGACGACAGTTGCGTAATCTTTCAGCGCCTTCTTGTAACGACCAAGTGCCATGTTGGCTGCAGCCCTCCGATAGTAGCCCTTGATATAGGTTGGGTCCAACTCTATAGCCGTTGAGCTGTCTTCAAGAGCAGATCCATACAACTCCTGAGAAATAATGCGTTAGCTACAAAACAACAATTCTACCCTCCGAAGATGGGCCATCGAACGATTGGCGTAGAGCACGGCCGTAGGGTGGTGGTCGATAGCCATAGTGTAATACGCTGCCGCAAGTCCATAATGACCATCTAAAAAATAACGTTGACAACAGTTTTTTTTAATTTAAGTCAACAATCTAATGAAGGCAAAGCTCGCCCTGGAGACATGTCGCGGAAGATTAACATGCCACTCTAAACCTTACTTTTGAAAAACGTGTTGGCAAAGTCTTTGATTTTCTCCGACTGCTCAACTGCGGATTCGGAATCGTTGAGGTCACACATCGCCAACGCAGCCTCCTCGTTGTCGAACATGCTGTAAAATAAATAAATTAATCTTGAATCCCGTAAAGAACATCAACAATAGAAGAAAGTCGCCGTTTCAATGGGATTATCGTGCCTTCATGGTAATGCTCCCGTCTTGACCTTTACATAAATCACTCAATGAAACATTAAATACATTTTGAAAACCCGGGCTAGGCGGGGACAGTGGTGTGCCGATGTTTTAAAAAAAACAGACATTAATGACTATAGCGCGCAGGTAACGGTTAGGGGTAACAAGCATTAAAAGTAATTAAATAGTGTGTGGTAACCAAATTACAGGAAATCATGATTTTCGATTTTTAGCAATCCCGAGTTCCTGAAAATGCTTTGGCCAGGGGTTCAAACTAGTGGAAAACCTGGTATTTTGTTGTACAAAGCGGGGGATTTTCCTAAACATTAAAATGTCACACCATCCGCGGAGTTTGGAGGGCCAATTTCATGAAAAAACGGCAGAAATCGACTTTTATGCTTGCCGCCACTGTTGCCTGGGCCGTAAGGCAGATATTTCGCGCCCCAGTGACTGTTCCTTTCGCGGCTGACGTCCCCTGAACCTCTCTCGGCCTTCGTCGTGTGCGCACGTTGCTTTTATCACTGCTTGAAAAACTACTTGTTTGTGCTATTTTGAAAACTATAAACCCTTTTCTGACTCATAAATCTGCTACTGAATTGCGTTGCCCTTGAGACACCTCCTAAATAGCACTCCTAGACCCCAATTTTGCTGGGACCACGTCTTTTTCACATAACGCTTTTCATTTCTCGTGTGCTTTCGGCGCGATTGTATGGGTAACTCATCTTCTTTTTCAGAAAACGACGCTAAGATGTACAAGGGCGTGCACGACAACGGAAACGAGGACATGCCAACGACAACGGGAGGGCAAGGCGGAGCAGCGCTAAAGGAGGATGACAAGATGCCACTATTCCTGATCAAGTTATGGAATATCGTGGAGGATCAGTCCTATCAAAACATCATTCGATGGGATGACAGCGGCTACAGCTTCCATATAATCGATCCGTATGCGTTCTGCAAGAACGTGTTACCGCATTACTTCAAGCACAACAACCTGAACAGCCTAATTCGCCAGCTGAACATGTATGGCTTCCGTAAGATGACACCGCTGGATCGGGGTGGATTGACGCGCTCTGAATCGGACCAAGACCATCTGGAATTCAGCCATCCATATTTCGTGCGTGACCGTCCCGACCTGCTTGGCAATATCAAGAGGAAGTCATCTGCACGAGCCCCTGTTCAAGTGAACGAGCAAGGTGACAAGATGGGTCAAAGCATTAATATTGTCATGGATGAGCTGCGGAATCTTCGCGATAAGCAGAAAGGGATGAGCAACCGGATGGAGGATTTGATCAAGGAAAATGAAAGCTTGTGGGAAGAACTCTCTATACAGCGCGCTCAACACCAAAAGCAGCAGCAAGTGGTTAACAAGCTTGTTCAATTCCTCGTTGCACTTGTCCAGCCCACCACGAAAAATTCATCCAGACTTGGTTCCAAGCGCAACTTACTTGCGATCGATGAGCCATTGAGCAAGCGCTTGCGTGGAAACCCTTCCACCTCGGGCATCCAATCGTCAAGCGGCCTTAGCGACATCCTGGATCGCTTACAACGGGAACTGATGGACGGATCGTTTTCCAACAAGTTTTCGTTCCCTACGAATGGAAAGGAAGGACCGATTATAGCCGATGTGACCGAGGAGTTGGCTCAATCAACGAACGTTGATCAGCCACCATTCGCCAATGTCCAAACTCGTGCTCCACATCCACAGCAGGGTGTCTATCAGCAACAGCCCTCTCGAAACCCGCAGTATCACCCACCCATGACGTCGACGCAGCCTTCAACCTCGCGTCTCTCCGCACCATATGTGGAGCATGCTTATACACCTCAGCAAGGGCCCATCAACCATCCCGCTGCTCCGCCGCCAAATCCAAACATGGTTCAACCGTCGCAGCCAATCGAAAATACTTTCTCCAACGAGCTCTCGGAATATTTGAGCGGCGTAGATATGGGCATTGATAATTGCCGTGATCTCATTGGAGGCAACTGGGATTACACGTTTGATGAGGATGCGTGGAATCAACTAGACCCAGATCGCCAGATCTTTTCGCCTACAAAATCTCAGACGCGACAACTTGCCCTGGAAGACGGCCCGGCCACATCTCCGGAGAATCAAAACAGTAACCGTACTTTGTTGGCCAGTCCTGGTCCTGGCCATATGGATCTTTTCCCTCATACCCCCGAGTTGCTAACGCCCATCCAATCACCACGTTAAAGTCTCTTCGGTTCCATTGTTTTGGTTTGCTTCCAAGCTCTATCGTTTCGATTATTAGCTGGTTGATTCCCATTTTTTTTTGGGTTCAATCTGATGGGTACGGCCTCTTGTACTAATGTAACTTCTTAACGGATAATTTGTACATTGGGTACGACTATTGTTCTCGAAACTTTCCGGTGGTCATTGCTTCAAAGAGCCGAAAACCTAGTTTTTTGTCTGATTAGCTACGACACTGTGATCCGACAATGTTTTTACTTTTTCACCCGAGCTGGCTTTATGTTGATCGTCCTTCCGTCTCCCCCATACGATTCATTGCACACCATTTCCTTTCTTATTTTCTTCTATGACGATTTAATAAATAGCTTTTTAGGGAAGTATGGGGCTCTGTAAGTGCCCAAAGCGGAAGGTCACAAATTTGTTCTGCTTTGAGCACCGCGTCAACGTCTGTGAGTATTGCCTCGTCGATGCTCACCCGAATGTGAGTTTTACGCTACGCACAATATGCTCGTTTAGTGTATCGTCCAATCCTACTTGCAATGGCTTCAAGACAGCGACTACGATCCGAATTGCGCCCTCTGTGAAACGCCTCTTCTGAGGTCAGACGATTCGCGTGAAACGATACGGTTGCAGTGTCTCCGTAAGTGTTATGCTTTATTATCCAACTGATCGGTTTCTATTAGATGTCTACCACTGGGATTGCATCGATAATTGGGCCCGCAAGATGCCACCTAATACAGCACCGGCTGGTTATAGATGCCCCTTTTGCAGGTTAGCTTTCTGCATAATAATGGATAATTGCATTGTAGGGAGGCTCTTTTCCCAGCTCCAGAGCAACAATCTCCTCTGATAGAGAAGCTACGTGCTCAACTCAAAGCGGCTAACTGGGCTCGTGTCGGCATTGGCTTGCCAATCGTGAGTATGTGTTTTCTGACGACTGTCTGTTTTTTCAGCTTCCGGAACTTGACAAGCACCAACCTGCTGCCCCACCTCTCAAAGCGGAGCATGGAACATCCAACAACATCCCGCCGACGCCTACGCATCACCCAATTTATTCGCCACCCAACCGCCGTCCAATGCAGTATTCGGCAAACTACAGGTATATCTATAGCCAACTTCTTTACCTCTTGATTGGCTCCGGAAAACGAGCTCCCGTCTGGTTAGGTATAAATTCTTTTTATAGGACGAATAGCCCGGCCACTGTTCTTGACGTAGACGATGGTTTCGGATCACGCACCTCTGAGCCTGACGTCACCGGTAATTTTTCTTCGAGGTTTTTTACGATTTGTTTTAGAGCGAAAGAAATACAATGGTTCGTATGACTATCGTGGAGATGCACAGCCTCTACTGAGCCAGGACCGCGATGCCGATGATGCTAGTAATAAGTATAAACGTCGTCCGGTTATGCAATGGCTCGGCGGAATCTGGAGGTATCTGTTTCAATTAATTTCATTGTATTTTTTTTGTAGGGCTCGATACGGCGATGCAGCGCGCGCAAGTCCGCCGGTTGGCCGAGGAAAACGCATCTTCTTCATACTTTTCTTGATCGTGGTAGCCGTCCTAACGCTCGTCCATTTGATGCGTACGGTTGGTTTTTTTTGTGCTAAATTATTTTGCCGGTTACCAATAGTAGAATAAATATTTTGTTGCAGATGAGCGTCGAACGAAACCAAGAAGCTAATCCAATCTTCGATCCAATGGCAAATCCGAATATTCGCATAGGAGATGTACCGGAAGTGCACAGCTTCAACTAATTTACATATGTTCTGCATAATACCGCGTTGAATCCCTCTTCCATATTTATTTCGCTTTTTGCTCCCTGTGGCTCGGCTGGTGGTGTTTTCCTATTTTTCGGCATCGGTATGTCCTTCTGTGATATTGTCTTGGTACATTTCTTGACATTACTTGTCAACATCTGTATCTGGTTAATAAAAGATTCGGGTTTTTCGTGTGATGAATGAAATTTCTGTTTTTTCTCAATGAATATCTACGATTTTCTTCATAGCTTTTGCGTTTTCAAATGGAAGGTTTAGCCATGCACCGGATCGGTGGCGGCCTGCTTCGGGCGGCTCGGTGCGGTGGCGCTGTGCGCGGGCAGGCCAACCAGCCCAAGCCTGAGAAAATCGAGGTGTTCATTGATGGGAAGTCTGTGCTGGTCGATCCTGGAATGACCATCCTCCAGGTTTGTTTCTGTACGATGTTCCTAATATTCCATTTTTAGGCGTGCGCATTGGTCGGTGTCGACATCCCACGCTTCTGCTACCATGACCGTCTCTCTGTCGCCGGAAACTGCCGGATGTGCCTTGTGGAGGTGGAGAAGAGTGTCAAGGTAATATCTCTGATCTGTCTGGACACAGCCTTTTAGCCCGTTGCCTCGTGCGCTATGCCGGTGATGAAGGGAATGCGAGTGAAGACCAACTCGGATTTCACAAAGAAGGCCCGTGAAGGTGTTATGGAATTTCTGCTCGTAAACCATCCGCTGGATTGTCCCATTTGTGATCAGGTATCGTATTTACTAAGCCAATTGCTGGTCGGCATATTTGGACGTCTTACACCGGCCATCATTTTAGGGTGGCGAATGCGATTTGCAAGACCAATCATTCGTCTTCGGCTCGGATCGTAGTCGACACCAGTGCGGGCAAGACGGCAAGCGAGCCGTTGAGGATAAGAACATTGGACCATTGGTGAAGACTGTGATGACCCGCTGCATCCAGTGCACCCGCTGCGTCCGATTCGCCAATGAAGTCTGTGGCGTGCCAGATCTTGGCACGACTGGCCGTGGTAATGAGATGCAGGTATAAGAAACGTCTTGGGATGGATGTTATAATTTTTAGATTGGTACATACGTCGAAAAAATGTTTGCTTCGGAGCTTTCCGGCAACGTTATCGATTTGTGCCCTGTCGGTGCTTTGACCAGCAAGCCTTACAGGTATGTGTTCATTAGCTTGGTATCCAAAGCTTTTATTTAGTTTCACCGCTCGGCCCTGGGAATTGCGCAAGACTGAATCGGTGGATGTTATGGATGGCACGGGCCAAAACATCGTGGTCTCTCATCGAGGTGGTGACGTCATGCGTATTATTCCGAAGATGAATGATGTATCGATTAGTTTATTGATATATTTTTTATTTAGGAAGTCAACGAGGAATGGATTTCCGATCAGGCGCGCTTTTCCTACGACGGTTTGAAGAGGCAGCGAATCCTTACCCCAATGGCCAAGAACACCAATGGGACCCTACAGTAATTGATCTACTTTGTCCATCACCAACGTTTAGACCCGTGTCTTGGGAAGAGGCCCTTTTCACTGTGGCGCAGCGCCTGAAGGACACTCCTGCTGAACTGAAGGCTGCTGTAGTCGGAGGAATGAATGATCTCGGTAAATTTTGTTCCAATGTTTGTTTTCATCCTTGGTTTCAGAATCGTTGGTCGCGCTCAAGGATTTGTTCAACCGATTCAATTCCGAGCTGCTCTGTACCGAAGAAGGCTTCCCTACTGCTAACGGTGGCACTGATCTGCGGTCAGTCTTTATTCGTCGTTTCTTGCAATTCAGCTGATAATTTTCCCGCTGATTCGACGACTGTTTTGTACTTTTTAGCTCGAACTACACATTCGGCTCCGGGTTGGCCGGAATTGAGGAAGCTGATGCGATCCTTCTCGTTGGCACTAACCCCCGTTATGAAGCACCCGTTCTGAACGCCCGCCTGAGAAAACAGTAATAATTTTGACGGTTTCATATCACCGTTTTTAGTTATCTCTATTCCGAGGTGGAAGTTGGAGCGATTGGAAACCCGGGTGATCTCACTTACAACTACACTCTGCTTGGGGAGTCTGCCTCAGCCCTCGATGCTGTGCTTGCGGGTAAAGGAGACTTTGCTCAGGTGAGATTGTACCCCTTTCACCAACGCTGTTCAGAAGCTGCATTCTGCCCGTCGCCCTCTCATCATCGTGGGCTCGAAGAAGCTTCAGGGCGCCGATGGCGGCAAGCTACTGGGTCAACTCCAACAGCTTGCTCAGAAATTGAGCAGCACCGCCGAGGTATATTATTTTTTTCTGTACATTTGCCGAGCTGTGTACGGTAACCCTAGCTCTCTCTTCCTTCAGGACAAATCTGCGCCGGTGCTGAACATTCTTCAGCGTACAGCCAACCAGAGCGGTGCTTTGGATATTGGTTACAAGGTATTTGTTTTACATAGCATTTCAAACCTACCTACAGGCCGGAACCTCATCGCTCCGCAAGAAGCCCGTCAAGTTCCTCTACATGCTTGGGGCTGATGAGGGTGTCGTCTCCCGCACTGACCTAGACCCTGGATCTTTCATCGTCTACCAAGGCCATCACGGAGACCGCGGTGCAGAAATCGCCGATGTTGTGTTGCCTGGAGCTGCTTACACGGAGAAGGTATGGATTATAGTTTGTCCTTGCATTGATTTCTTTTAAGGATGGCATCTATGTCAACACGGAAGGCCGGGCGCAGCGTGGTTACCCAGCTGTGGCTCCCCCTGGCGAGGCTAGGCACGATTGGAAGATAATTCGTGCGCTTTCGGAAGTTTCTGGGAAGACGCTTCCTTATGACAACATCAAGACGCTGCGTGCCCGTTTGATCGAGGTTTTTAAAGATTGTTCTACATCCTGTTTACGGTTGTTTAGTTGGCCCCTCACTTGAACCGATTCGGTGACTTGGAGGGATCCTCCTTTGGTCATTTGGGCGCCAAGCTTGGCCAAGTAAGCGTTTTCATGGCTCCGTACGGCTTCATCTATTTCTTTCTAGCGTTGCTAACGTTTTTTTTTTCAGGGGAGCTCGACCGACCTTTCCTTGACGCCGGAGCAAAAGGAGCTGGCTGATTACTACGTCACAAACTCGGTTACACGCGCTTCCGTTACAATGTCTGAGGTAATTTATTTGGCTGGGCTATATCGCTCTATATAGGCCCAAAAAGCCGCGCAGGGCCACAAGATCGACCCGTTCGTCGACGAGAAACGCCCCGAGTTCTACCAACACGCTTGAGCTCATCTACACCAGTCCCAAATTACGAGTGAACTTATGTAGATTTTTTGATTACTTCTGCCTGCCCATCGTTTTCTCTGTGTGTATAGACTGTTTGGCCTTTCGTTTTAAAACCTAGTGTCGTAGTTTAATAGTCAAGAGAAACGAACTTTTTGTCAGTTTAGTTCCTTACAAGATTGTGCGGTTTTTAGGCTTCGATGGAATAAAATCCTTTCTTATAATTCTCGGTGCAAAATAATTGGTAGCCAGATCAATCGCACAAGACACAAACATTTGGTGACAAACGGTTACCTACAGCATTTGATTCACCTTTTTCAGTTTCACCATGGCCGCAAGACCGCTACGTCACTACCATCGACGGCGAACAAGCAAATCTATGATTATTATCGCTTTAACTTAAATTGGTGGTTGGTTTCCCGAATAAACCTGTTTGATTTTGCATTGCCATACAAGCGAAGAGGCGTTAGCAGACAATCGTCATTGGAGATGCTTTTTGTGAATCCCAGCCTCGCATCGCGCTACATTTTCAACTGTATTTCGTGTCGGAACGAAGCTGCCCGGATTGGTATTGCTGCTGGCTGTTTCCGGCTGAATATTCTGCGTATTTTGCCCATTCGAGCTGTATTGGTTCTGAAAGTAGATTATCCTTGCGGCGCACTTGTATTCGTAGAAAGCCATTATTATTTTTAGAATTCGCAACGATGAGCCTCGACGATATGGAGTCGCTGATGTCCAATATTTGTATTAAAATAAACGGTTATCTGATTTGTGAGAATTCGCAGAAGGCATAGAAATACACTACCAAAGTCTGCAAAGTTACAAAGATTGACTTCAAAAAAGTTTCGTCGTCTACGCTTTACCTTACTTCGTAGATGCAGCATTCTCGCTATTTCGCTTTTAGTTCCGTAACTTTCCAAATTACGCGCACCCTGATTCAGGCTACGATCGCTCTCCTGCTCGGGCGAAACGAGAGACTCGATCATCCTCTCTCCGAATTCTCTCCTTGCATATTTTTTTTCTGGAAATTCAATTCCGTTGCAGGATCTATGGCGGATGTCGGCGCATCAAGAACAGAGAGAGAGCGGCGGCAACCCACAAATGAAGTGCAAAGTCAACATTGTGGTATTTTTGTTGGATTTGCTTCAATATCTCCATTGCAGAATGGAAATGGGAACGGCATGCCGATGGAGCAGCCTTCGCTTGGCCCGATGGATCGTCTGAAAGCGCGCCTGCTGTTCGGCCAGCAGCAACCACTACCGGTATCGCAGGTTTTTATTTTAGAATTCGTGTTTTAGACGCATTCCCAAATGCCTCCTCCACCACCCCTTACCAGCAGAGCCTTCCCTACCCGACCGCACACATCATCCCAATGAACCATCAGGTTTGTTTGAGTGTTCTTTTAACTCACTGATTTTTAGATGGCCGTCCAGTACCAGCAGCCCGCTCCTGCTCAAGCCTCCTACCTCCTACCGACGTAATTATTCCTATTTCGACCATCATTTTCTTTTAGTGCTCATAGGCAAAATTGACCCATGTGAGTCTCCTGCGTCTGCATTCATGCCGGAGAAACCAAGCCCTCAGTGTACATCTAACGAATTTGGCTCGAATTCATATTGTGCTATGTTCTTACTTTTCTAACTACCCAATTCTGTGTATTCCCTTATCCCATCTAGCTTTTAACTCGACAGTTCACAGTACGTTTCTTTGCTGAGATTTACGATAAATAGTAACGAAAGTGTTTTGTGTGCCGAATGCTCGAGAGTTTACGCTCGTTTTACCTCGTTACTTTCCGGACTCGTTGTATTAAGTTCGTTCTATTCTAGCTCGTATCATGGCCAACCGCGTGCTTTCCGGCAAGCCCAAGCCGCCGCCTGACACGATGACGCTCCTTGAGCTGGACCTCTGGATTGCTGAGCAAAAGGTATTCGTCTACGTGCAAATCGAAGTTTGTTTTCAGGTGATCATCTCGCATCTGGGAACTGTGGATGAGGAGAGGAAGGCGGCGCTGTTTCGCTCGTTCGACGAAGGTCGTGCCAGAAAGGCCGCTGCTGAAGAAGCCAAGCTGAAGACCGAGCACCTGAAGTTCAAGGCCGAGCGTACGGATCTTTCTTTGACTCTGCAATTGTTTTAGTGCTCAACAAATATATCAACGAGACGAATCAGGAGCTGGTCGATGTCTTTATGGAGGTCGACACCGTTACGAAGGAACTGTTGGTCGAAAAGGAGAAGGCCAGCCAACTGGAGAAGGATGCCGCCAGGTTGCGCCCTCTATGCTCCTGCAACTTATGATTTAGACTTCCGGCCGAGATTGAACTCAAGAAGGTTCAATTGACGCACTTGGAGCACAAGTTCGCTGAATTGAAAGAAGATAACGCCGCTTTCGAAGCTCAACTTCAGCAAGACCTGACCGTCGCCAAGGAACAGCTGGCACGAATCAAAGCCATCATCGATGCTGATGAGGGCGAGCAAAGGCGCCGGGAGGTACGATTTTTTTGCCAACTTGATTATTCCTTACAGGTCAGGGCTAAGCTAGCCAAAAAGAAGAGCAAAGTCGAAGTGCTCCGGAAGCGCCAGCAAGAACTGGAGGCTCAGCTCAAGCTGCTGGAAACTGAGGGTAATTCGCTTTAAACTACCCACGCCGTTTTTAGCTCAGTGTCGTCGCCAGATGCCGTTCAAGGACTTTTGCAAGAAGTTTGCACGCCACTCGTCCGAAGTAAAAGATCTCCAAAGGAAGATTGAAGCCTTGAAGCCCGCCTTTGATGAGGCGGAAGCCAAGGTATAACTTAACACTCCATTGGTCTCAAGGAACAAATTTTTTTTTTAGAAAAAGAAGGAGCGGATGAATATGTCGATGGAGGACAGCCAAGAGAGCAGCAACGACATCGAAGTGGCGTCGAATGCAAGCGAATCCCGACGCCGATCGTTGGAGGAGGAAGATGCGACCATGGATGAGAACGAAGGCAGCAAGCGGCTCCCCTCTCAACCACCCCCAGCGAGCCAACATCGTGATGGCGATCAACAAAGAACCTCGCAACAACACAAGCCGAAGATCGTCGTCAGGGTCGGGCAGGATGATGGGAATGAGGGATCTTTTGAAGAAGATCAGGCCAAAACGGTTTGTTTTATCGGCTTTTTTATTCACTCTGTTTTAGTTGCAACTCCATTCGAAAAGCCAAGGCGTATCGCAAGTCGGAAACAGTCAGCTCTCCATGCCGGACAGTCAGCGCCAAATGGCGAGCAACACGCAGGCCACAAATGGAAGTAAGTTAAGGTTTCCTGGGGAGATTTTCATGTTTGCAGCCGAACAACAAGAATGTGAGGTGATGGACGCGTCTCCATTTGATTTCGATCCATCCCCGGCGATGGATTTCAACGAGCAAGGTGGCGGGACGCAACAAGACGAAGACGCATTCATGGTTTTGCTAAACAATTCTTCCTAATTTGGGTTTTAGTTTGACGGGATCGGAGATACAACCGCCGGGTTTAACATGGAAGCCGTGGATAGCGTCGTCAATATGTCTGGAACAGATGGTATCGATTGCTCTCTTAACTTTACCTTCATTTTAGGAGCGGGCGAGCAATTCCTGTCCTTCATGCAAGACCACACCGGCCGTTCGGGCCAGAGCAAGAATGATGCCAATGGCGAGGGCGGAAGTTTCTTATCCGGAAGCGGTGCGGGAGCTGGCGACGGGGCTGATTTTGACTTTGATTTCGGAGGTCGGGTTTCTATTGATGCTTTATTCACTCCAAGGATTGGATGTGTCTTCAATAATTCCTTTTTGCTTTCAGGTGATGGAACCAACGGCAACTCGAACGACACCTCCTACTTCGTTTTCGACGCGGACAGCGACAATGGCAACAGCAGCTTCGGCCTCGGACTTTAATCGCGTACACATGTTTGATGTTTTCTACACTAACTTCTGTTAATTTTCCGTCGTGATTGTTATTATTTCTCTTGATCTATTTTCGCTCTGTGCCTTTTGGGTATTTGATAATTTACTAATAAATTTTGTGTGAAATTTCTGCTGAATGGTCAAGAACGGTTCTCTGGCCGATATATTATCTTGGCTTTTTTTATTCGTTTGCTTATTTCTTCTAATTATTTTAGCGGCGATGGGGAAATATGGCACATCATGCCCGCTCCATTCTGCAATGGAGCTCCAGTACTTCTGCCTCCCGTGCGACCAGGCCATCTGCAATGAATGTGTTGCCGGGGATCATCTTGGGCACCCCTATGAAGATGTTATAAAGGTATCAGCTTGCCATTTTTATTTGAATCCTGCTTTAGATGGCCAATATGAAGCTCGACGACATCAATCTGCTGTACGAGGCGGTGATGGCCAAGAGGAAGACGTTCGATGATCGATCACAGGTATGTTTGTTTTGGCTTTTATATCACTACTTTTAGCACGTCGACAAGGCGATGCAAGCCCTGTCGTCCGACCTCGAAGTTGCCAAGGAGACTGTCGAAAATAATGCCAAGAAAATCCATGCAATCGTCGACGAGGAGCTGATGCTGGCCTTGCGCGAACTCGAAACATCCTATACCGATCGAAAGGTTCGTCGGTTTCGTCTTTTGAATGAAATTCCCGTCAGAAAGAGATCTCGCGCGTCGCTAGAGGGACGTTCCACCTTATCGATCGCATAGACCAAACGCTCGAATTTTGCCGGCGCTATTTCGCCCAAAATCCTCCCATCGACGTAAGCAGCGCTTAGCTCTATGCGAAAAATTCTTGTTGTTCAGGTCCTGGTTTTCAAACAGTTAATTGACACCCGCTTGCGCCTTTTCTTGATCTTCAACCCTGACCTGCTCAATGTGCTGGACGAGCCCATTCATGTGGGGTTTTGTCGGCCCGCTGCTCATCCATACCTTTTAAGGCCGAGATACCGCAGCTGGACTCGCAGTCGATCCGCCACTTCATCCGTGAGAACTTTGCACTGGTGAACCTTTTTTTCGGCGCATTATTCTTTTTTTTAGAGACGCAAGCCGGACGCGCAACTGCACCAGAACATCTACATGGGTGCCTCTATGGGTGGATCCATTGGCTGGCCAGTGAACGGAAGCGTGCCCCCAACACCAATCGGCCATTTCCCGTCGAATTACCGTGGTCCAATGGTCATGCCATATCATGGTTATCCCAACGGTATCGCGAGCTGCATTTTTTCTAATTTTCTTTAGGTGCTGCACAGCAGGGTTTCACATTCCCTCCGCTCCACAGCCGCAGCAAGCAGTTCAAGGCTGTTAATCAGGATTCGCTGGAAGCTGCTGCCTCGCCTCCGATTTACGAGTCCGATTCGCAGGAGCAGCTGATCTCGTCGTCTTTCCTCGTGCCCTACACTGACGTAAGCGTTGTGTCAAATTTGCCTAAAACCTTTTTTTAGACCGGCCTGTCTATGCAATGGCCGACACCACTCGAGTCAAGCTTGGCTACTATCGAGGGCGACGATACGGTGTACGTGGATAAGGATTGCTCGGCGCCGTACATCCGGTATTTTTGGCTTCATTTGATTGTATATCCCCTGTAGACCACGTTCCGGAATGAAGCGTGGCAAGATGATCTACCACTGCAAGTTCGGAGAATTCGGTGTGATGGAAGGGCAGTTCGCGGAGCCGTCGGGTGTTGCGGTCAACGCCCAGAACGACATCATCGTCGCCGACACCAACAACCATCGCATCCAGGTTTCTATTTGATCGATTTGTTTCAATATCCTTTTAGGTCTTCGACGAGGAGGGCCGATTCAAGTTCCAGTTCGGAGAGTGTGGCAAGCGAGATGGGCAGCTGCTCTATCCCAACCGGTATTTGTTGTCTACCAACCTTCATGGCTTATTTTAGTGTCGCGGTCAACAAACGTACCGGAGATTTCGTGGTTACCGAGCGCTCGCCCATTCATCAGATCCAGGTTTCCTGATGCTCGATTTCATAAACAATTTCCAATTTTTAGGTCTACAACCAATATGGCCAATTCCTGCGCAAATTCGGCGCCAACATTCTGCAGTACCCGCGTGGCGTCTGCGTGGACTCGGGCGATCGGATCATCGTCGTCGAGTGCAAGGTTAAGCCTTTTTCATTGACTTTTATTTTGCATTTAGGTGATGCGCGTGCTGATCTTCGACATGAGCGGGCAGGTGCTGGGCAAGTTCAGCTGCTCCAACCACCTCGAGTTCCCGAACGGCGTCTGCACCAATGATAAGGAAATCCTCATCTCGGACAACCGCGCTCATTGCATCAAGGTATTGTGGTTCTTTCGATTGTTGAAATATGCTTTGCTAGGTCTTCGGATACGACGGCGCTTTCCTGCGAACCATCGGCGGTGAAGGCGTGACCAACTACCCGATCGGCGTCGGCATCACCCCTAATGGAGAAATTGTCGTCGCGGACAACCACAACAATTTCAACCTGACCGTCTTCAGCCCGGTATTTTCACTTCTCTGCCTTCAACACCTTTCAGGAGGGTATTCTGATCGGCGCCCTGGAGAGCAAGGTGAAGCATGCCCAGTGCTTCGACGTCGCGTTACGCGACGACAACTCGGTGGCGCTGGCCTCGAAGGACTACCGCCTCTACTTGTATCGCTTCTCCATCGGCCAGGGAACAGGACTGTCAAGCTTCGACACCACGCAGTAGCACACCACCGCCAAATTGCACGTATCTTCTTCGCTTGCTTGTGGCACACCATTGTTTCTGGGTTGACCAATTAGTTAGTTGTTGCTACTTACCATTAATTTAAAAAATGTTTTCTTTTCTTAACTCTTTTTGTTGTCACCCGCCCCCATCCCCTTTCATTCTCAGACCGTAATATACCCTTAAACATAGCATCGCCCGCCCCGACTCAGTTGTTATTTCCCCGCGCCGGTGCGCTTTTACTGTGCTTTGATTGTTAATAAAAATTATGTCAGCGGATTCTTTGTGTCAAAGACATTTCGCGTGGAAGAAGTCGCATCTCGAGGAACTTTCTCATTATCGGGGGATGAACGTTTTTGCTTGAAATCTAATTTTTCTAGCATATATTCGAGTAGTGCTTCTCAAAAGTTGTTTTTTATTTGCTAGATCTAAAAACTTTGCAAATTTGGCTTGAAACTACAAAATATATACTGCTTTAGCAGCGTGACGCTAGAACGCAGAACGCAACGTGCACATTAGAAGGAGCTTTATTGGCGATGCTTTTTGTAAATCCCAGCCGTATGCGCATCGCCCGCTGCAGTAGATATGATGAAAATGCCGACTCAACCTAAAACAACGCATAATTCATTTCCCACCATATTAATTTCAAAGTGAGCTATCGCTTACCCTGCTGTGAGTATTGTTGTTGGTTGCCGTATTGTTGATTATTGCCAGTCTGGCTGCTAAAACTAGGGAATTTCTCGTGTGAGGAACGAAGTTACCCGGATTGGTATTGCTGCTGGTTGTTTCCCGCTGAATATTGCGTATTTTGCCCAGTCGAGCCGTATTGGTTTCTGAAAGTATGTCTCGCATTAGGGCTGGATTTCACCTACTGATTGTTATACTGCTGTTGGCCTTGGTTGTATTGGCTTGTCCCGTCGTTCAGTTGATTCTGTCCGTTCTGGGTGCTGAAAAATGGCCAGTTAATAGCCCCCGTCATATTTTAGGTTTACAAAACCGATTTTACCTAGTAGAACTGCCACATGCCGTTGTCGAGCAGAAGCAGGGTGGCTGTGGTACAGTCGGGAACTGTGAAAGCTGCGGGAAGGCACCGGTATTTGGGTCCCAGTTCAACAGCGTTTGCAGCCAACCGCCCATCTTAAAAAACTTTTAGAAACGTTTGGCACTGGCCACCTGCGAGCTCATCGATTTCGAGTAGCCGTTGAGTTGCTGCTGGAATTGTGTCAACTGCTGCTGCTCACTGGCGGTTAGCTGCCTTGACTGGCCGTCTTCGATGACCTGTCCGTTCTGGAAGGTGATTTGTCGATTTTCTGTAATTTTTAGTGCCTACCTCATAACGGCAACGCCCATTGTTGAAGGTGTATTGTTGGATCGAAGCGGATGACGAGCCAGAATTGACGGACGTTGATCTGTAACAAGGATTTAGAGCGTAAACGTTAGTTTTTCGAAGTAAAGGGTTGTAAAAGTAAAAGTTAAGCGAGTTTAGAGACAAGTACACTCACTGATACATGGGTACGCATAGGATAACGGGGGGAAATAACGGGGGGCACTCAAACTTTTTATATGATAAAAGTATTTTTAAATAAGCTTTTTTCGGGCTGTAAAAAAAACTCTTAGTATATTTTTCGGTCCTCTATCGAATGGCATTTTCAAAATTTCGAAAATATTCAAAACGCCGAAAATTTTTTTCCCCCCTGTTATCCTATGTGCTGCCCATAGTTTTCAAAAATAGTTTTTAGGCTATAAAACTTTTATAATACATTCTTTCGCGTTGTAAAAAAATCTCTTAGTATATTTTTTGATGTTCTATCGATTTGCGTTTTCAAAATATCGAAAATCTCAAAAATTTGGCTTTCCCCCGTTACCCTATGTGCTGCCCATGGATTTTGATCAATTTTTGTTTATTCGATAAAAAATTTCATTTACATTATTTTGGGCTGAAATTAATTTTCCTAGGGCAGTTTTCGACGCTTTATCGAATGACATTTTCAAAATACCGAAAATGTCGAAAATTTCGAAAATTTGACTTCCCCCCCCCGTTATCCTATGTGCTGCCCATAGATTTTCCTCACTTTTTGTTTATTCAATAAAAAATTTCTATTACATTATTTCGGGCTGAAATTAATTCTCTTAGTATATTTTTCGACGCTCTATCGAATGGCACTCGCAAAATCCCTCAGTAATTGCAAATTTCATAATAATGAGTGCCCCCCGTTATTTTATTCCCCCCCGTTATCCTATGTGTACCGATACATGTTCGGTGATGATGACTGGCCATTGTTGCTTGCGTCGTATTGTGGCTGATTCCCGTATTGATTCTGATTCTGGTTCTGTTGGGTCTAAAAAATTATAATTTCCGAGACCTATTTGATTAATAACCTGGTAAATTCCAGCACCATTCATCTGCCGATAGCTGCTCGTGGTGGATGCTCCGTATTGATCGTATTGGCCATACCCAGAGGTGCTGCTTTGCTGATAATTTTGGCCGTTTTGCGAGTTATATTGCTGTCCGCCATAACCCTGTGTTGAGCCATATGGAGACATTGTGGATGAGGCTCCATATCCGCTTTGATCGTACTGCGATCCCTGTCCCGACGACTGCTGATTGCCGTACGCATCATACATCGGCTGCTGCGTGCCGTACTGTGAGTTTTGATTGTTTCCGTACGGATCGTACTGGGGGTTCTGCGTGCTTTGCTGCGCGTCGTACTGCTGGTTTTGATTGTTAGTTCCGTATTGATTTTGGGAGCTGTCATACTGCTGATTTTGCGTGGCGCCGTACTGCTGATTCTGGGAGTTGCCGTATTGTTGGTTTTGCATGTTTCCGTTCTGTTGTTGGCTGCCGTACTGTTGCTGAGAGGTTTGCTGGTTGTATTGTGAGCTTTGGTCGTATTGAGGTGACATCCCGGCGTTCGTGTTTGCGCCTGAAAAGTTTTTGGTACTGTACTGTTAGCGGGGGGTCATATATAACGTATTTTTATAGTATTAGTTTTTTAGTGCTAGAAGCGTGTCACAGAAATTTTTAAAAACTTTCAAAATTCGGAAACTGACTTTTCGTAATTTTTCATACATTTTTGGCCAAAATTTTTCGAAGTTTTTATGGTATTTTAGGAACTGTCGCTCTACGTTAATTTTTTAATCTTTTAGCTGTTTATAACAACTCACCAGAGGCGGCATTATACTGATAGGTGTTCGAAGATGCGGATGGCTGTCCATTCGTGTAGGTGGCGGTTTTCGTCTGCGAATATCCGACGTACTGCCCCTGGCTGTCTTGGCCCCCTGGAGCTGAGTCTGAATACCGACGTCTTGCAACACGTCCGCCAAATTGACGTGCATTTTGGGCCCAAATTCCGGAAGCTAAGCCCGTAAAACTTACATTGCTGGGCAAAAGCTGCGGCGAGGAGGGTGATTAGAGGCAAGGACCGCATGTCGCTGAAAATGTGATGAAATTAATCGGTTCTTTCGTATTGTCGGGGGTAGGGGAGACAAAAATTTTCTTCTTAGGATTCAATTTTTCTATATATGAAAAGCGGAAGTGTTTCTAGACGGTATATTACTATTTTGAAAAGTAAAAACTTTACAATTTTTTATTAAAAAACAAAAATAATGAGTTTTCGACCAAAAATGTCGGCTTTTTGAATAATTTTCGAAAATTTCTAGATAGTTTTTCAAGTGGAAATTTAGTTAAAATGTTTTAAAAACATTATTAAAATACTTAACTCAGTTGGTATTTATACCCCCCCGGTAACGCGAAAGAACCAATTCATGAAATGAAAATGAACGGATCGTAGCCCCGAACGCTGATTTCAAGTGTTTGCAATTGAAAAGCTGATGTGGGGAAGAGGTTGAAGCGGATCTTAGGCTTATATAAATGTGACAGGCCAGCGGGGCGAGCGTCGGAAAATAGAGAAGAAGCGCCACTTTTCTCGGGGTTAAGACTGGGGGCAGGGGCCCCGGTAAGCGCGGCGGCTTCGAGCCAATGTGAGTAACACCTATCCGTGGTCTATTTGTCTGTCAGCGGCAGCCGAATGAAAAGTTGTGCACCGTTTGGGCGGAAGGGACAACAGCGATGGTGACCCATGGCGAAATGGCCCTGGTCTTCGGCGTTTCGTGAATCATTCGGTTATTTTAGGGGTTTTGAACGTCTTGAAAACGTTGAAGAAGGATGGAGGAGGGAAATTGATGACCTCCATTTTCTTATTGAAAAGGAATACCGTTTTTGATTTAGCATAAATTAGACGTATTTTTAGACATTTAGTGGTTTTCAAACACTTAGAAAAACTTTTATGGCTTTTAGAATGTTTTCAAGGTGCTTTTATAGTTAAAAACAGCGTAAAGGTTAATAAAATTGTTAAAATTCATTATCTTACCCTAAAGGCAACCATTAAGATATTTAGATATTTTTTGACGCCAATCGAATCCAGGAGAGCGAGGATTGCCTTGGAAGCCCCCCGCTTCCCACGACCAACCCGCTTTCCAGGCATGGGGGACTGAAAAACAAATCTTCATTTCTTTCACATTACCACGGCCTTGGGTAGGGCGTGCTTTTAAGGAATTGAAAAGTTTATTATTTTCCTTGTAGCTGATTTTTCTGGTACTGGACTGTTAACGGGGGGTGATTTTCAGCAGGGTGGTTTCCGTGATCGGTGATCGAAAATTTGATTTTCGAAATTTGTTATAAGTTTTAATGAGCTTTTTATCTCTAAAAACTGTAAAATGCTATAAAACGGTTTATATTTTGTCATAGAACCGTACGGGATTACTGAGAAAAATCAGTTTTCCACCCCGCTAATAGTCCAGTACCATTTCTCGTACGAAACAGCTTCTTCAACCCCACCGACTCCACGGGCATTCATGGATACGTTTTTGAAAAGTTATGTGCCTGCGGGGTCTGGTCTGAAGCCCCGGGCCGACCTGGGCGCCCCGTAGATTCTGGTCTCATAATAAATCTAGAGGGGGGACCCTCTGGATATGCGTGGCTGGGTGCCGGGGGATCTCGGTTTCGGGCCATTGTCTACGATGCCCCCCAATTTTCGATGCAAGCTTTTGACGGGAAGGAGGGGGGGAGGATTTCGCGATGAACTTTGTACAAT